CTTGCCAGAGGCAAAATATATACCCCATAGCCATACCCCCAATGACCCACCTCCTCCAGCCATACCCTACCCACCTTCAGGTACCACTGAGTTAATCCCATTGAGGGATTAATTTACTGATTGGGTAAGAGTCTTAAACCCAGTCATTGTTCCTGTAAATCTTCTTAAATTGTCTCACACATGAGCTTTTCAGGAATGCCTCAATCCAAACCATAACAAGGAGAATGATAATTTCATTGATCTTTGGTTCTTACTTTTATATTTACTGGTTATCAGAATAGTAATTAGATCATTATTGACCTCTTCCAGTGATCATTAGAAGTTCTTCCCCAGTGTTATTAAGAAATCATGAACTTAAATGTATTTGTGGTTCAATCCTTTGATAGTAAAATTGTTTTGTTTGACCAGTGCAAGCCATTTCAAGGTTTGGCTCCATAGTCTTTTTGGTATAGCTCTTTGTCTTTAATAGTTTCCTCACTGTCCAGTAGGACAAGACATTTCAGCTTATTTTTTTACATCTCCTGCACCAGAACTTGAATCAGCTATTTATTTAAGGAACTATTTGTATTTTGGGAAATGGTATCTCAAAGCCATAATCTAATATTAGAGATTCCTGGTTACTGGGTTGGTATTTCTAGACCATTTCTGAAGCCAGAACTAAGAAATTTATTTGTTATAATTTAGAGGCCCAAAATTCACAAGTAATAGGTATTCATAATGATACTTCCAGGACAAAAATTCAGGGCCACTGAGTTTATACCTAATCTTTATCTTGCCTTCTTATTTTCTTCCACTCACTTCTAGAATATTGGTTCTTAACAACACCAAGAATAATAGAATGAGAAAATTATACATATGATTTATCTTAAGTTTTTAATGATAAAATTATCCTCTCATAGCTATATTATTTTGCTTCTCTTTTTAGGAATCTGATAAGATATATTTTACATTTCCTCTTGCAAATCATAGAAAAATCTACACTCATGTCTACTGTCAGAGCACCATGCTGGTAAGATAATTGGTACATTGTATGTTAATTTGAAACACTTGTTCATTTTTTAGATTCAATTAGTATCTAATAGGTTTAGCTGTGAATTGTTATTAGATTTAATTAGCTGAAATGTACCTGTTTAGAATTGTATTTTCATTGAAAAGTATTAATCAGAATTTTTCTGTAAGATAATATACTGGTAACGTGTACCTTTGGATCTAGCTTAGGACTTCCTGTCTTTCAGACTTACAAAGACACTGTGTTCAAGATAAATGAATTAAATTCAAAGCCTCTTTTATTCTAAAATTATATTCATATTTTTTGCACTTTCCACTTCTTGAATTTATTTTTTAAAATTTTTTTATATACATTAGTTTAGTTAGACTGTATTTTGACATATACATGCGTAGAGTATAACTTTCCATTTTTTGTGGTTGTACATGATGTGGAGCTACATTGGTCATGTATTCATATATAAACATAGGAAAGTTATGTCTGATTCATTCTACTGTCTTTCTTAATCCCATCCCCCCTTCCTTCTATTCATATTTTAAAGAACATAGTTAATTAAGTAAGGCTATTTCATAAGAATTTTATAAAGTAAATCCTAGTTTTCCATTAACTATCATACTAAAACATACTATACTTTTTATACTAACAGTTAACAGTAAACTGTATAATGCAATCAAGACTTAAATTATATCAAAACAATGATTTTGTGTTTCTTTTTAATGAGCTATGCTAAGCATTGTTTTAAAAAATGTTAGATGCTTACTTCAACAACACACATGCTAAAACTGGAATGAGAACTGGAGTGTAGCTCAGTGGTGGAGCACTTGCCTAGCAGCCATTGTAAAGAATACTGCAAGTTAATATAATAGCCAAAGTTTTGCAACTCTTTCAGACCCTAGCATCTCTCAATCTAAATCTGAATGATGAGTTTATCTTCGGAGAATCTGGTCCTGAGAGTGATGGCTTAAAATATTTACACTCAATTTAATACTGTATTTTAAATTAGAAAGTCAGCCAGGTGCACTGACACATGCCTGTAATTCCGATACCTTAGGAGGCTGAGACAGAAGGATCTCAAGATCAAGGCCAGCTTCTGTAATTTAGGAAGACTGTGTCTCAAAATAAAAAGAACTGGTGATATAGCTCAATGATAAAGCACCCTTGGGTTGAGTTCCTCATAATACAAAAGGAAGAAAGGCAGGGAGGAAGCCTGTTATATTGAGAAGAATGCTCCTCAAAGTACAAATTATCCATTTGGCTAATTGTAGGGGCCCTTAATCATATTTAATGTCTGTAAATTAAGTACTATAAAGTCATGTGGTGAATTAAAAAAAAACTTCTCAATTTTTATTGTAGAAGTTTTCAAGCATATTTAAAAGTAGAGCCAAAATAATAATAATGACTTAGTTTGTAACCGGCCCATAGCTTTAACAGTTACCAACTTTCTGTTATTCTTTTTTTTTTTTTTTTAATATTTTTTAGTTGTCAATGGACCTTTAATTTTTTTATTTATGTACGGTGCTGAGAATCAAACCAAGCACTTTACCACTGAGCCACAACCCCATCCCCAACATTCTGTCATTCTTATGTCATTTATTCCTTCCCATGTTTTTTGTAAGGAGTACCAGGGATTGAACTCAGGGGCACTCAACCACTGAACTACATCCCCAGCCCTATTTTGTATTTTATTTAGAGACAGGATCTTACTGAGTTGCTTAGCACCTTGCTTTTTGCTGAGGCTGGCTTTGAACTCGCTAGCCTCCTGAGCTGCTGGGATTACAGATGTGTACCGCCACGCCTGGCTCCTTCCCACCTTTTTTTGGGCTCAAGTGTTTTTCTTTTTTTGTTTTAAGTCCCAGGCACCTTATCATTTTATCTACAGATACTTGAATATGTTTTTCTATCAGATAAGGATTTTACATATTACTATAATGTCGTTATTTTATTTAACCAAATTAGTACTGATTCATTAATATTATCTGGTATTCATTATTCAATTTTCCTCAGCTCACATGTTTTTGTTTTGTTTTGTTTTTTGAGACAGGATCTTCCTACGTTGCTTACCTCCTCACTGAATTGTTTATGTTCTCACTAGTTTGCCTTCCAAGCTCCTGGGATTACAGGCATGTGCCACCGTGGCTGGCTAGCTTGTTTAAATTTTAAATTATTTGAATAAAAAATTGAAGTGTATACATTGTCTTAGGTTCCTGGATCTTAAGTCTCCTTTCTAATAACCCTCTTACCTTTTCCCTTTATGTCCTATTGTTTTCTGTAAACTAGTAGTTAGATTTAGAATCTTGATTAGATTCAAATTAATTTTTTTGTGGTAAGAATGTTCTATAAGTAGAACTATATCCCTATTTTATCACATCTAATGATTTTAGCAGCCATTGAAGACATTATTATTTTATTTTTACTGCAGACAGAATCTGAGAATAACATTTTTGAATAGTAGTATTTTCTTTCCTATTTAGGAATTAGTAATTCCTAAGTAACTTCTAAGGCCTTCATTCCAGTTCTTGTAGTTAGTTGAGTTAGGAAAGTTTTCTAGATGATTTGAAATTGTTCTTTGACATAGAGATTATATCAACATGGTATATATTAGTGGGGACTTGAATAGTATATTATCTATTCAATCTTATGATGAATGGTCCAGACTTTTCTCTACACTGAAGTAGGTTGTATGGAATATTATCACTTTTTATAATGAAGTTTACCTTTGAGAATAGGCTTTGTTAGGAGCTACAAAAACCCATTACAGAGTGAGTTAGGGCCAGTCGCAGTGGTGCACACCTGTAATACCAGCAGCTAGGGAGGATGAGGCAGGAGGATTGCAAGTTCAAAACCATCCTCAGCAACTTAGTGAGGACCTAATAAGTAACTTAGTGAGACCTTGTTTGTAAATGAAAAATAAAAAGGGCTGGGAATGTGGCTCAGTGGTTAAGCACCCCTGAGTTCAATCCCTGGTACACCTACTCCTGGAGGGAAAAAAAGTGTGTTGGATCTTTAGACACTGTTAGATTTTCTTCATCTGAGCTATGCCTATTATGTTGTATTGCTTTATAATGACATATTATCTTTTGGGGAACCACAGGTAATTAATATAGGAGTCACACAAAGATTTTGCCTGCGGTAGAGAGCAGAGAAGTATCACAAAGTTTTTGTTTCCTGTTTTCTATATTCTTCAGAAATGGCTTAACGTTCTATTTAAGCTCTGTGAGGGCAGAGTCTGTGTCTGCTAAACTCATTATTTTCCCTGAGGACCTAACATAATTTGTTGCTGGGCATGGTGGTACTTGCCTGTAATCCCAGCTACTTGAGAAGCTAAGAAGGAGGATCACAAATTTGAGGGCAGCTTCAACAATTTAGCAAGACCTTGCCTCAAAATAATAAAAAGGACTGGGTATGTAGTTCAGTGGTAAAGTGCTCCTGAATGAACAGGTGGATTTCTTCATGGTTTTATCTGTAATAACTAAGAACGAATTATATAGATAACAATGCTACTCCCTACATTCTGGTAGGATTTTAGTTGTTGACTTTTCATTGCTCTGACTTCCTTAAAAGTTAGAAGATGTTGAGTCATATCACTTTTAAGTGGGTAAAGTTGAGTACAGAATGTTAAAACATCATAATAATATGCAGCATTCTAGTCCCATGCTGGTGAAGCCCTTGGAATTGTGCCTCAGTCTATACATGTTCCTAATTGTGTAGAAGTTATCTGCTAATAATCAAATGGGAGCTAAAATAATAAAGTAAAAGTCCTAATGCAGTAATTGTTATATTTTTAAATAAAAGTTATTTATTTTTTTTTTTAGAG